CATATACATAATCTTGAATTGCTTGTTTCTACGGTGATAAATAGGGATGTCCAAATGAATGGGAGGAATAAGAATTTGCTGGTATTTTTGTTTGCTTTTAAAGGGATATCTTAGACCCCATAAAAGAACAGTAAATTCACTTTGTTTGGCTAAATGGCGACAAGTGAATCTTATTGATTGCAGGGCAAACTGCAGGTCAAAAGAGAAGCATGGGTAATCAACTTATTCTAAATGAAATCATTCTTAGTAAAGGGTAAAGAAAAAGAATTAAACTAAGTGAAGTGTATTTTCTAATAGACCAAATGAGCCCTATCACCAAATGTGTTCAGTAGGGGAAAGTAATAAATAGAAAGAGTTGCTTCCTGTCAGAGCACCACAGACACCACCATGCACGGAGCATCACATGTTAGAGCAGTCGAACAGGAAGTTTCTGTGCGTGCTGGGATAAACAGGCCTGTGACAACCACCACACGTATACTTGGGATTTAACTAAGATGACGCAGTGTGGTCAATAAAACTGCATGAAATTTTAAACCCAAGGGAGGTGAATGACATTTCTATACTATAAAGCCCAGGTATAGGTTGAGAATTACTAGTGCTAGGTTAGAAAAGATTAAATTCTTCAAACTCATGAACACTTATACCCCGCAAAGTTTTAACTTCAAAAAGGAAGGAGCACAAACTCATAGCAATATACTGGTAGTCCCAAATTAGAAAAGTGCAAGAACTTTTGCATGAAAAATCTAAACATTTGCAGAAAACATATAAATCACTACAGTCTCAAGTAAGAAAAGTACAGCCTAGGCTTACCTTATAGCTGCAAAAAGGCTGGAATAAAAATTACTGACTTATAGAAGCAACTTTCACATGTATCTGAACATCAAACACAACACACAATATAAAACAAAAAATAACTAGAACAGAGAAGTTTTCATTCTGACCTTAAAAATCCTGAGCAAATCGCTGGATGAAGCCAGATCAAAGGGGGCATTCCACCAGCTTGGAGCCATATGCGCGAGGGCCCCACTGCACAGGGCGCAGCTGGTACACAACGGGGGGAGGGGGCCACGGCAGATCCAAAACATAAGGCCAATAAACTGGCTTCAAATTACTCAGGTAAGACAGAAAGAATGAATAATTTTGAATGCAACTAATAAGATTTTAAATGTGAGACAAATGGTACAAAATAAAGTGTGCTCACAAGTTTAAGCTCTGAAATTCCTTTCTGTCATAATTTAAGTGAAACTGAAACCTCAGTGAGGATACATGCGAAGGGATGGTGACTTGTTATTAAACAATTACTGAAAAAAATAGTTGAAACTTGTTATAATACCATACAGTGATTCTAAGCCATATGACCTGATTAAAGTCTGAGACATTTGGGAGGAATTTAATGTAGACTCACAAAATTAATAACTCTACTTGAAGACAGAACCCCTGTAAGTTTATTATAATGTCCAAAGTTCCTTAATATTCTCCATTCATCATAAAATGTAAAATGCTAAAATTAAATTTTCACCTTAAACCTTTAATTCAAGTTGCCTTTTCATATGTAAAAAAGACAAGCGGTACTAATTTTTTTTAGAAAACTCAGAAGCACTCATTTACTTCATGCTAATTTCTATAACACAAAGTTGCTAGTTTAATAATTCCCAAATAAACACTTGCTCCAAAATACAAGCTTAAGAAAAAGTCTCCAACTTGAACATTACAAGTTGAAATTTTCATAACAAAATCTTGCATTTCATTAAATAAGTTGATAACTTTTTTCAGTCAGCAACCAAAACATTTAACACAGATTCCTTCAACCTCATGACTTCTGAAGGACACAAAAGCATAGAATATCCAGAAGGCTATTTTTATTGGATATTCTAGTTCAACACACATTCAACACACAGATATACAATGGCAATCGAAATTTCAGTAGCAATGATGAACAAGAAAATATTGACGCACAATGACTTTGCTTATCACTCACACAGTTTAGGGAATACTTTTTTTTTTGACACTTCCATGTATTAAAGAATCCTTTCAGTTTAGTAAGAGCTTTGCTAAGCTACATCTAGGAGTGACAATTAATTTTAGTAGAAATTCGCTCCCAGGCTACTTTGATAGTCATTTGAACAGTTTTGCATTATTTTAAATGCAATTTTATAGCTCTGTAATGTTCATTTAATCTTGTTCAATGATGCTGAACCCAAGATGCCGTAAGACATTACAGGAAAGCATCTACTGCACATATGGAGTAACTACTTTTTCTGAACATTAATTTCTGTCCTCTTAACAGGCTGAGAAAAGCCACCACTCTGTATGAAAGGTTTTATGCTATGGACTTGCAGAGATGGGCTACCTGTTACCGCTTGAGGCCCTAGCCGTAAAGTGTGGTATTTAAAGTGCCTATTTACGAGCATCAGCTCAAGTCTCAGTAAGAATGGCTTTCTCTGGCCTTCCTAGCACTGCTGGCATCATACATTCTAATCAGGTCACCGGAGAGAGCTCAGGGCATGGAGGATTTCCTCCTTTCTCTGTGTGAGGGTTGGATATAGTCAGGGATCCTCAAAGTGAAGTCTAAGGACCATCCACAATAGAATCACTGGGGAGCTGGCTGAAAAGGCAGGTCCGCATGCAACCCCTACCCCACAACACTGAATACTCAGTTCTTAGGTTGAGGCTGAGAAATCTGCGTATTAAGTCAGTACCCAGTGACTATTCTGCATGTGAAGGGGTGAGAAGCACTGACAAGATGATCTCGAAGGTCCCTTCCACTCTAAAATTTTACGAGTCTGTGAGTTTTCTTTTAAAAATGGTGTCCCACCAGCAAAATGAAAGTGTCCCTACAACAGCAGAGGGCGACTTTCAGCCTAAATCATAAGTGTTCTTAGCTTTTGATGTGACATAAAAATAACAAAGTACAAAGAGAACAGTATAGTCAGATGTGTAAGAAATCTATTTGGGGTTTTTTTCCCTCATGGGAGACGTAGAGGAAGAACCCACTCTAATTACTGGAGCGCAGGTTCCCGGCGCCTTTTCCTGCACCTTGCTTCCTATCTTTTCCTCTTCACCTTCTGACTGGACTCCTCTCAGCTGTTAAGGAAAACCCAGGTTTTCTAAATCGTGAGGCACCAAACTCTTAGGTTATTTTTAATCAATCTGAATATATTCTTTTTAAGAAATAAACTACCACAGGCAGTCCTCTACTTTCATCTGTAGTTAAGTGAAATCTTATAGAAATATAGAATATAGGAAAAGTAAACAACAGGCCTATTTTCAAAAACAGTTCCATATTCAGAAAGCTAAAAAAATCAAACTGCAACTTTACGTCTCCCTTTGGGCACAATATTTGAGGAAGTGTTTCCTATATGTTACTTATTTCATTCTTTCTCTTCATAACTGCTTAAAGGCTCAATGAGAGACTAAGATCTGAGATATTTTAAAGCACATCTGGAGAATTTTATCTTGATGTATTTTATTTGGTGTAGGAGGGCTAAACTTCTATTTGTAATATCTTTTATAAAATCATTAAGAGCAAAATGCAGCAGACTTTTAGAATAATTACACAAACGTAGCTGAATGAATGAGGTTTGCTGAACCAGAGCACTGGCTGGAAGGCAGCGCCACCGTGTGATGGCTCCAAATGCTGTCGACTCTGTGCAAGTCCATGGGGGGGGGGGGGGGCGGCTCACAGCAACACCTCCGTCCTGTCCCAATCAAGCCACTTTCAAACACCACACAGTTAATACCACTGCAGAGTGAGAGGGACAAATGAGCACTGGTTATAACGAAGAAGTCTGATGATGCATTTAGTCTTATCAGTGGCCAGACTGGATCAGATACTTAGTATTTGACTGGGTGACTCCTTGAGGGGTTACGGTGCCAGACTTTGTATATATACCCTTGGTTTCAGGAATCACAGACTGGACGTAGCCTGCAGATTTCAGTGTCCAGCTCTGCCCCTTGTTAGCCCAATGTCCTTTCACAAAGGACAGATTTAGTGAAGGTGCTGTGGGTAGATAGTACATTGTGCCTAGTGGAGCCAATTTTATTCAAAGCTTCTTTCAACTATAAAGTCTTGTGCCTATGTACATGATGCAGATGAGCTAATATAAAGAAGAAGGCTGAGAAGGTTATAGTCAACTTAAACTCCTTTAAAGTTTTTTGGGGTTTATTTTCTCCATCAGTTGTACCATAAGTTTAATAGCCACATTATATTAAATATCTATGTTCACTGTAAACTCTCCTCTCATTTCAGAAATGTAGAAAAGTGGCAGGCATTTAAGGAAATGCAATATTTAACTGAGAGAGTCGGCACTTTGGGAGTACTTCCAAAAGAAAATTCAAATATAGACAAGTTACCTTCAATGAGTATTATTTGACCTTATTTAACAGGAGTACTTTCTTAACATAAACAGTTAAGCCCCCAAGCTCTCACCACCTAGGAAATAACGGGAAGTGAAACACATATTGGTCTCATAGTCCCTGGCTCTGCATCCCAGCCCCTGAGGAATTACAATACAAAGGCAAGAAAGTGAGCTCTTTGGCTTCTGTATTTGTGTTCAGGTGGTACCTGCAAGGGGTTGGCTGGAAAAAAACCCAGGATTCTACTGACGGGTTTCACTCTCCCCAGCATCAGTTGAGATGGGTGTACCACCCCACCATGACAGTCACAGGCCCCACAAAAGAGTCCGTGTATCTCAGAAGAGTACTGGATTATTTAATCCAGGTAATAAGAAGTTATAAAATGGATTAAATTAGTTTAGCTCATATAACATCTCTACGAACTAGATATTCAATTAAAGCAATTTCAAAAGCAAAATCTGACAAAATCCTCTCTTAAAGTAAATTAGATACTAGGTTCTTAACTTAGACAAATTAAATCCTTCTCGTGGTTGGTATTTTCCACAGGGTCAGAAATAGTGGCAACAAGTTCTCTGGGATAAAAATCTACTTTGTGTACTAAGCCATGTTTCAAGATCATAAACAATATAAATTAGAAACATTAATGTGAGCCTAACATTCCTATTTATTTTATTTTACTTCAAAAGCTACATACATGCAAAAGTTGAACATGCCATCACAATGCTTTTAAATAAAGTTCAAAAATAAAAATACTTCAAAATCCATTTACTTATGGAAGTATACATGACAATTATAATGAAGATAATTACATGCCTTTTCTAATCTATCAGAAAATTATAAATAAGAATTTTAATTCAAGTACAGAATAATTTTTAACTCTTCCATGAATTTAAAAAAAAAAACAAATTGGGTGTTAGTACAATGTTTAAAGAAACAAGTTCCAGGGTTTTAAAAAATGGGTCTGATATCCTTATACTTCATTTTAAAAATCACTGAAGAAACTAAAGTTTAGAAACAAAGCATTTTTGTAAAAAAACTATAATCATTGTTATTATGGTTAATGCAGTTAGTAATGGAAGTAAAGGGCACAACTTTTATAAATAGACATTTTGAAAGTCCTTTCAAATGTTTAAAGAATTTTATTTACAAACACAGGCTGGAGGCTTGAAGTACCTCTGTCTCTCTCTGCTGGTCAATACTACTAGACACAAGGGTATCAAATTCATTTTTACCGGGGGCCACATCAGCCTCACAGTTGCCTTCAAAGGGGTGAATATAATTTCAACTCCTTAACAGTTAAGGAGTAGTTACATTTATACAGTCCTAAAATTATTTCAGCCCTTTGAAGGCAACAGGGAGGCTGATGTGGCCCCCAGTGAAAATGAGTTTGATATCCCTGTATGAGAGAAATGAAAAATTCTGGGTTCAGTGTAGTTCTGAGCACTTGGCCCTTCTGTAAAATGTATATGCATGCATGAGCAAACCTGACTTCAAAAACACCCACAGGAGGTGGTGTCTTCAAAGGACCCCATCTCTTCCAGGTGGGAGAAGCAAGAACAACAGCAGGGTCAAGGAGCAAATCTGAGTGTTCCCAAGGGTGGCCAGTTCCTTATTCTAAAACCAGTATTTCTTTGGTAACATAATACAATTTTTATTAACAATTCCAAAAATTAATGTTAACAGAATGCACTCCAAGTTCAACTTGGTGGATGTCCACATTCATCCTAGAAATGAGATTTAACTTCCTGCCCCTAAATGAAAAAGGCTGCCCATTTCAGAGGGCTCCTGATTATTGGATATAATATACAATGTGAACGGGAAAGGGGGTCATTTAACAAAATGTGTAAAATTGAAAAGCCCTAAGTAGGTACACATATCCAAAATTTGGAAGCAGCTTAATTCAAATAATTAAAGTATTCCCTTCCCTTTAAATCAGAAGTATAAGGTTTCTTATTTGGATAAATCCCTTGTTATCATTCTAAACCTTCCTTTAAAAAAGCCAAATTGAAATTCTGGTTAAAAATATATTCACAGAATCCAAACCTAGAGTTTGATTTGTATCCTGATACTCCACTCTGATTATAGTTTTCATGTTAGGCAACCCAACTATTATTTTTCTTTTATAACTAAAAAAATAAGTTTTAAAAAGGAAAAATAAAAGATATGTATGCTGTCAGTGCAAAATCTGATTATGTTTTTTTTTTATCCCCTAGGACAGAAAAAGCAATGCCCGGTGCATAGTATGTAGGAGTGTGTCACGACAAATAATCAAGACAGGTTTCGCCAGGTGGTATTCCTGCAAGTACAGCATGGTTTTCAAAAGCAGTCCTGTCACAATTATGCATATTCTGATTAACTAGGTACAGTACAGCTACTTAAAAGAAAACTGACTTCTGTGCCTCAATGAAAGGAGAGTGTACAAAACAATAATTACACAAAATAAAGAATTTGAGAGGGGAAAATTAGAGTAAAAAGGACACAGAAATTAGAAAGCAAAAAAAAAAAAAAAAAAGGCAAGCAACATGACGGTAGAAACCCGCAGTGTCCCACCACCCCACCTGCCACTTAGTCCTAATTGCCCAATCTGCAAGGACAGAAACACACCCTAAATCGACCAGCATGGAACTTCGGCAAGTCTTCTCTTCACTCTCCCTCCTGTTAAGACCGTTTCCAAAACCAATCAGCAAAGGACAAAGAATTCTTTACAGAGTGCAATTAGTGTTTTCCACGTCCACCTTCAAAAGCATGATGCTCTTCATGGGCTAAAGAACAGAAAAAAACAAAAAAGAAAAAAGGAAAGAAAACTTTAAGCAAAGGATGGGGCAACCTTTCTCTAAGGCATCTCATTCAGTTTCCCCAAATGTTGGCAAGAACTCAGATAACTTTTTGTGCTAGTAACTGTTAGCTAAGATGTGCATTTCCTGAGAAATGTAATAATGAAAATTAAAACAAGGAATAACCAAGCAATGGGCATGCTGTCTATTCCTTTAACTGTGTCGGAGAGGATGAGTAACCGGACAAGCTGATGAAGAGAATATGCTGGGCCCTGAACAAATGCTGTGGGGAAAATGCACCCCATGGAATGCATGAGTAGGGAGGGACGGGCCTCTTGGTACCCAAGACAGGGCCATTCACAAGCCTGTTTTTAAAAATAAAAATAACAAAAATAAAACAACACAAAGAACAACACAAGGGTGGTAGCAATTATGTCTCCCCATCTCTGAACACCTTCAGGAGGAAATGAAGTTTCATAAAATTGGTGGGTCTTTTATCTTTCCCAAGCATCTTTCCCCCACTCCCATCTCTACTGACTGGCTTGCAAAATTACTAATTACAATTTTAAAACTCTAGAATAAAAAATTACCAAAAGCATTTTTCGAAGACTTCAATTTTTTTTAAAAGTGGATGTGGGAAATGGGAGACCTACGAAATACATATTTCCTACAAGGCAAAGGGCCAAGATTGAAGATCTACTTTCTAGATTTGGTTAACCATCACCATGAAACAAGGGCAGATTCTCTTCTCCCAAATGGAAAAGTCTCTGTGGCTTGTGTCTAGTAAAACCAAAGGCAACTCAAGATCCTCTGAGCTTTGTCATCTGCTCCTTACATCATCAACAGAGATCTCCTAGGGCACAGGCAGACTGGCCCATTTCACTTCTGAAACCCCTCCCAATTCTCTTAGGTTTTAATACGGACTAAATTCTTCAGACTAGTTGGGTGGGGGGAATGGGCCATCTTCCCTTCAGAATCATTCTGGGTATTCATCCCACCTTCTGTTCACTTGGATAAAACACTGGAAGGAGCACCCCAAGTTCCCTAAGAGTGGCCTATAATCCAAATTAATTTAATTGAATGTTTTTCACAAGGGGAACTTTATAAATATTTTACTTTTTATGATTTTTTAAAAATGCTTTTTAAAGGACGATTTTTCAGGGCAGACACCAAAGAAAACCTGGTCTGCTCTGCAATAAAATATACAGTGCTGATGGTCTCATGGAGAAGCCATGACCTCACATAAATGGTCCCCTCCAAACAGTAAAAAATCAGTAGATAGGAACTAGCCAAAGATGCATTACTCCTGAGTGTGAGGGACACTGAAGTGCCATGGCAGATGGGTCACGGAGATAACAGAAGAGAGCATTCAGGATCAGGAGAGTCTAGAAGTGGAAGGACCTCTGTTCCCCGGTGAGCCTTGGCAGAGGGGGAATATAGAAATGCTCTAATCCAGGACTCGGCAAACTTACTGTGAAAAGGGGCAGAGAATAAATATTTCAGACACTGTGGGTCTCTGTGCCCATTACTAACTGTGCTACTGTAACATGAAGCAGCCATCGATGATATGTACACAACTGGGCACTGCTAGGTGCCCATACACCTTACACACATATGTGAAAACCATTCTAGCTGCAGCCCATACAGAACAGGCAAAGAGGGGGTAGATTTGGCTTGTGGTTCATAGTCTGTCAACCTCTGCTCTAAACAATTCTCAGATCAAAAAAGACATTTGTCATTCAGCTGCTCTGAATCACCTAATAGAATTTGGGAAAAGGGGTTTCTGTACATTCAGTTTTGTGTGTGTGTGTGTGTGTGTGAAATAATCAGTCTTTATCCAAATCCTATCAACAGCCCAATCCTCATCCACCCTGCTAGAGAACCTGCTGTGCTTCCCGGCTCTGCACTCTGTGAATGAATACTTAGACCAGAGTCCTAGGAATGAGACAGAGTGAAAGCATGCAACTGACCATTTCTAACTTACCTCACCCTACAACTGTTCCTTATCATGCTGTGAGTAAGATTTCTGCCCAAACCCCAGTTTTCCAAATCAGTTCTACAGCATGTAGTATATAAGCCTACTGAGTAAAGGACTGCCTGCTTTATATAAAATAAAGAGAATTGCTTCTTTTATCCAATTAAAATTTTATTTAAATAATCTTTGACTTTTTAAATGTTAATTTATGCCATTAAAATATGGATTTCTACTGAGACCTGTAGACAGTTCTGTATTACCCAGAAACTTCATGATGAAATCTGCCTTGGGGTATCTGTTCAGCTTCATTCAACTGGCTAAGCTATAACTTTTCTCCTCTGCTTGGCTCCCCCAAACCCCCTGCCCATCACAAAAGCTGAGCAGAGGTTCATCCTTGTTTAGTCTTGCCTGACGTCCTAACAACCAGCCTAACCACTCTGTGCTAATCACTTAATGAAACACTAATATCATGTCAAATCTGCTGCTAACCAACATGTTACCTGGAAATGGAATCACGTAATTTTGAAGCAGAAGGGACCTTGGAGATCATTTAAGACCAACCTTCTCACTATGTAGATGAGAAAGTATAAGGATAAAAAGTTGTGACTTGCTCAAGGTCTCACTATTGAAGTGGGACAAAAATCCAGAGTACCTGACTTAATAATTCCAAGCTGTTTTTCTCCTCTTTTGAGTGAAATGTGGAGCTGGTTCAAAGGTGGTAAAGAATGTTTTGGCCTTGTATAACTGCCAACAAAACACACTTCCTTCCAGTGAGTTTCAGCTGTGGTTAGTCTTGTGGAGTAGAAGGAAGAAATTAATATCTGGGTTGAAAATACCATTCATGTTTCCTAACATGGGGAACGTGTTCGGGAATGAAAATTCTATCTACAAATGTGCAATTTCCACACTAAGAGCCAATAAGCAACTTCTGCCATGCCATCTTTGTCTCTTTTATTTAAATTGCCATCTAAAATTTAGAACCTTAAGGACCTCCTGTAATATCTGCAGCACCAGCTCAGTCTCACTGCTAAAATCTTAATCGCTTGGCATGATTGTGTGATTTCTTAGAGGGAGGACTTAGTTTTAATATTCTTCATTGTGCTAAGACAATCATGAAATAAAATTTGATTCCCCGCCCCCCCACTTTGGTCAAGGGGCTGAGAGAAGTGAAATGGTAAATGAAGTCTCTTTCAGCAATTCTAAGATACACTCCCCGCACCAGCATCCCTGAAGTCAACGTATCATCATGTAACTAGGAGCCTTTTAGTTTTCTTTTTTAGTATTATTACTAAAATAATACTTATTATCAAGGGCGTTTTAGATTCAATAAAATGCAGTAGTTAAAGAAACTGGGTTGCTGACTCTTAGCATAGTTTGGGAAACAGGGAATCTGTCATATATGTGTGGGCCTGCCGAAGCCCCTCTCTATTTCATTGTTGAAAGTATAACCTAAAGTTTGATCTACCAAACATTGGTTTAACAACATTAAGTTGTTTTCATTATGACAAAAAATGACTTTTTCAAAAGAGCACACAAAAGCAATGAACATGAATCATGATGCAAACAATAGGTCCACACGCCTATTCATACTTCTAACAGGCCACCACTGTGCGTGAATTCTCCTTCAGTTCTGTGTCACAGTCATCCGTAATGAGGAAGCATTAGCATTTCAGTAGAACATTCAATCAACACTGTGCTCAGAAGTTCCTCCACAAATACAGATGTTATATAAGCATATTATAAAGTCCTGTTTGTGAAGGCACAATTGAATATCTATGTTACCACTCATATAGTAACATTTTTGTTAGTGTTGCTTCAAATACAAGGTAATTTTTTTCTGAGAATGACAAATTTAAGATCAGTTTTAAATTTTTGAAATGATAAATACAACATGTATCTCATTTTCTGATTCATGCACTTAGGCAACAATTAAATCTCATTCTAATTTCTGAGACTAAACTTTTTTTAAACATTTAAATGTATTTTATTTAAATATTTTCTGGATTATAGAGTTTCATGTGATTCTGCCTTTACCTCATTTGCAACACAGTTCCTATTTTTAAAAGTATTATAGAATTATCTAGAACGTAATAACTGGAAGTGAAGCACTTACGTTTATAAAATACTGCTTTAAAAGATATGTGGGGCAGAAGTTCATAAATCTTTTCTAAAACGGTCGCTTCACCCACTAACGAGGCATTTACATTCCAGACTTGGACGACGTCGTCTCGGTCCCGAACGCTGACACTGACTCCTATTACTTCGTCATCTAAGGGGAAGGCAGAAAAACAAAGAAATGAGTGATAATTTCAAGTCTGCCTGCACTGCTTTTTAAACACATATTATTTCATCTGTAAGTTATAAATAAGATGATAAAAAGAAGGTGGCACAAGAGAACCCATAATAAATACTTGTTTCTAAGGAGAATTGTTGGACAAAATACAAGTTATTGGGCGAAAGCTGCAGCAATCATATCACATTTAAACAGGGACTTAGATATACAAAGTGTTCTAGCCAAACAAATTTTCCAGGTAAGTAATTTGCCCCTTTAAACATGTTACCAAAGCTTTTGACTCTTTTTTTACTCTGTTTTGATGAGACTTTTTCTAAAATGAGTTGCATAACTCTGCCCTCCGAAAGCCAAGTGAACTCAAATGAACTTTTCCTCGATGCTTGACTGTCTTCGTTAAGAACAGCAAGTACTTTCTCCTGACTTCCTGCTGAGCGTTCATGTACCTTGGGGTGGTCAGTACTATCTGCCTCAAAACTAACTAGACGTGGACTGTGTATTCCAAGCTGCTCTTTCTGCTTTTGGGGGTTCACTTGTCTCCTTTCCTATTGATGCCTCCTGCTCTTTCGTGCTTCCTTCTAGCCATCCCTGTTCCATAGTCAGGCTTTTTAACTGTGAGCTAGAGAATCAATGACCATCTGTTAGCACTGTGTATAAAGAAAGAGTAAAATACCTTTTAAGTGTGGCTCTGCTATCATGGCACTGCAGTAGTTGGACACTAAAGCATTCACCTAAATTAATTAAGAGATGTCTTTTTAAACTAAACTAAATTCTGCATTTGGGGCTATCTTGTAGATATCTGAGAATGGTGGCTGGATCAGTAAAGTTTTTTTTTGTACTGTCCTTGCACACGCTTTGTGTATGTTAATCTGCAGCAAAATGATAGCAGTGAAGACTTCTGACTCCTGGTTTACATGTTTATGACATATTAATGAAACGGGGTCAGCTCTCTGAACCTGTATATCCAGCACCAAGTAAAATGAAAAAGGTAAGCATCACAATTAGAAAATGTTGCTTTAATAAATATGCTTTGCTTAAATTTCTGTAAATCTGTAACTCTAAATAACTTACATCAACAGTTCTTCCAATTGTCTTCTGTAAATTAAAACATTCTATTATTTAGATACAATTTAAATAAGCACATGTCCAATTTACTAAAGGAATTCACCTTCAGTAAAATAATTATTTTCTTTCCTTCTTCCTTCTCTTCTTCACTCCCTGCTTCCTTCTTTCCTTCTTAAATGAATTTGGTCCAGCTAAACTCGTATGATTTGGCACTAAATGGTTCTACTTATAAAAAAGTTTGAAAACAGGCATAGCGAGCCCTACGACATTGTGAGTAGACTGTCAGCCACATTTGGGGGACAGGAGGATAAGCAGGGATCCTGGGGGTTGATAACGTTCTGCTCCTTGACATGGAGGCTTGCTGCAGGGATCTGTTTACTGTAGGAATATCTGTCAAGCTATAGACATGATAGCTCGTACACTTTTTTTGTATGTATGTCACATTTAAACAAAAACTTCCAAAAAATTAAACAGTACCTGACCATGACCATTCAACAGGAACTTATTCCATCAAAATATTTGCTTTTTTAAAGATTTTATTTATTTATCTTTAGAGTGGAAGGGAAGGAGAAAGGGAAAGAAACATCAATGTACGGTCGCCTCTCATGTGTCTCCTGATGGGAACTGGCCTGCAACCCAGGCATGTGTCCCGACTGGGAATTGAACCGCAATCCTTTGATTCGCAGGCCCGTGCTCAATCCACTGAGCTACGCCAGCCAGGGCAAAACATTTGTTTATTTACACCTTTAAAATATACTTGTTAGAGCTCAGTTATGTTAAGTTTTATATGAACATAAAGTTATCACGTAAAGAGGGAAGCTCTGCAGTTTATCACTTTCAAGAATGGTCATGAAGTCACCAGATCAGTCTTTTAGGAAAATATCAGCATTTTCCAGTCTTTTCATATTGCCCATTTCCACACTTTTGGTCACAGGGTGCTAAATATGACAAACTGTCAATATTTCAGTTTGGCTTGGCTGTTGGTAACTAGACATAGCCTACTAGTAACAGTGCTTTCAGAAACTGCATGGTAAAAAGGCTGCAACTCTTATGGAAGGGCAGATCCATCAGCAAACATGTCATAGTTATGAGAGTCAAACAGCAAAACCCTGATTATTTTAGGGTACTGGCAGCATAAGATGTTAGAGCCATGATGAGCCACTGTTTAAAGATGGGGGATGAAGTGACTTACTTCAGGTGGCAGAGACAGGTTCATGGAAGGCTAATGGTTAATAGTTAACGATGCTCTCCTTTCCTGAGTCAACCACAGAACAATAGGTCCTCTCTGCTGAATCCTGGCAATTTATTATTACTTAGATAATTTTCCCTGGTTCTGGAAACAGGAATAGTTCTACTTAGAAAATTTTCCCTGGTTCCAGAAACAGATATAATTTATATGGAAAACATCCTTTCCCAGGGATTTCGTTATTTACATATAATTATACCTAGGTCACATTTTCGCTGCAGATTGTGAAGTTGCTCACCACTCCCTATTAAAATAGAAGAAATATGTATTTCTAAGGCAATTTTATCTTAACTCAGTTTTGTCTTAAGTAAAAAAAAAAGTAGTGTAAGAAGAAAGTAAAACAAAAGCAGAATTATCAAAACTGCTAGTGAGACGGATTTGAAATTTGCCATAGCATTGGCTAGGTGTGCAGGGGCTCTGAAGGTCGCAACCAGCCAAGATATCTGAGGATAAATTAGTCAATACTGATTCACTTACCAAAAAAAATAAATAAATAACTGAAAGCTGAACAGGAAAGATGTAATTCTAAATGTTACCTCTGAAGCATCCACCCAGGAAGACTTGCCCAAGAAAAACAAAACTTTAAACAAGCAATTCAATTCCCGTCTTTGAGTGGCTTCATGATCAAAACAAAGCAAAATAAAAATGGACTTACACAGGCTCTCAGAAATTCACTCAGTATTTGAAATGGTCTCCAAAGTAAAGTCCAGAAGACCTTATATTTTAGCCTTAATTGTGGGGTCACAGCTAATAACATTAAGTACATATTGCTCCCTTTGAGCAGGGGACCAAGAGAGGGACAGGAGGAAGGGGAAAGGGACTGAGAGGGACCGAAAGAATTGTGCCAAACTTCACTGGACACCAAAGGCACTTTCCCCTCAAGAAGAATAGGAAAAGGAAACCAACCAAAAGCTGTGTTAAAAATCCAACTGATACCACATTTTCTTTTCTGTTTGCCTATTTATTTTGGATAGGTGGTCACAGATACTATTAAGATGAGTTATGAGGGAATATACATGTCTATACACAGATGTATGTACATAATATACATATAGCACTAAATGCCACAATCACATGAATAAATCAAAGTAACTTTATACTTGTAAAATAAACAACTTTGAAACATGAAAAAAAGTAAAAAACACAAACTTTTGTAAGTGACAAGCACAAGCCAAGCACACCCGAGCGGGCCCACAAGCCGTGGCTCTTTACCTGCTGCAGCACAGTCTGTGAACTGTTCCCCGATAGTCGCTAACAACAACTCTTTCCAAACTGTAGACTGGTGTGAAAAAGAATAGAAACAAAAAACAAAACCAAAAAAACACAACATACATATATATATGTATATATATATATATTTTTAGACAATTATATCCAGGAGCTAAACAAGTCCCATTTTCCACAACTTCATGTGCACTTTCCATGCCCATGTGTAGAGCCCAAGGCCATCTCCCAATTACAGGTATAAACACTCACAATAGTGTGTGTTGTACAAATAACTTTACACAGATAGATACAGTGATCCAGAATCACAAACTCTTGTGTCCAAAAACCTTGGTGTCCTAAGCCACGAAGCTAATTTGTAGTGAAACCCCTGATCAAATTCAAATAACTGTGGGAAAATGCATTTGAATGACATAATTGTCTGATTTCTTTACCTGTCCCTGATTCAAAACATATTAACTGGTTATAGTTGAATGCTATGAGTGAAATCCTTGTCTTCAAGACCCCTTTCTCTGTTTTTCTTACAGTTTATTAAGGTACTTCAAAGGTTACACAAGTAAAGAGCACTTGAGGAAATTTCTGGTTTATTGAATAATACTAGAGACTTGCAAATTTCTGTTTATTCGAGATAGACTGTTTATGTTAAGTGACAGAACTTAATGAGTGTATGTATGCATTTCCCCAGAAGAATCAGTACTTGGTCTGGTCTACCTCCAGTGAGAAAAAATGGAGTCTTTCTATTTAAGATCTAATGATGCCATCCAACAAACAAGCTATTGAAGTCCTAGAAGTTCTTCTAGTTATTCCCTCCTGCATAGTTCTTGGTCCCATTTACCTTTCTTGCCCTGGTCCACAGGCTCTGAACTCACCCAGAATTGGGTTTGAATCCAGACAGGCTGCTTAGTATCTGTGACCTAGGCAGGTTATCAATCTCTCTGCACAGGTTTTCATAGGTAAACAGGGAATAATAAGAGGGCCTGACCTTCCAGGGATCTCAAGTCCATGAGACTTGAGTGAGACATTATTAGTTCATGAGACTAATGTGCTGAACACATTAGTCAACAAATGTGTTCAAAGGATTTAGCACTGTGGCTGCAGCCAAGGACTCAACCACTCCATAAATAGCTGTATGTTTGCTACATGTCAGAGGCTCAGTACATTTTAACCACAACAATAGTGTTTATTATTACATTCTACTGAGCTGAAAGCAGCCTGGCTGAATTTTTAACCCAGATAACAGCAGTTAAACATTGTGACCTCTTACTTCCAAGGAGGGTTTTCTTTTCTCTTTCCTAGACCATTACTTTCTGGTCTACACGTCCCCCATCTAGAAATCATCCTTCTCTCTCCTATCTGATAGTCCCCACTATCAGTCTCTTATACTGTTACTGATGAAGTTGAGGGAGACAGGAAGTTAGGGAAGGGAAAGTGTCCTGTCCTGTTTTGGATTCAGACAAGGTTGGACCACCAGATTCCCACTTGTTGACAGCTGTGTGTACCAAACTACTCAGGATGGCAGTGCTTGTGAAGTGTTATTATTTGTGACTGAATATGGCCAACTGGGCCAACAAGGAAAGGACAAACGTGCCTTTCAGCCTCTTTTCACTGAAAGTTGGCATCCTGATTGTTTCAACTCGAATTCAGTCTAGTGTCAAAAAATAACATGAAAAAGAAAACTTATTCTTACTGAAATTTTTAAAAACTTATATTGCTTTCTCTTTGTTTTCTGTTCTTACACTGCCTTCTCTCCTTTTTAAGGGGGACAGAGTGGATTCATAGGCCTTAATTAGCTGATTGGCTGCTGGCTCCCCTGACATTTTCTATTATGTATGCCAAATAAGAGCCAAGTCTTGGAGTTATACATTCTGACTAACAGATTGCATCTTTAACAAATAAATCTGGCCGTATCTGTAGATGTGCGCTTATAGGAAAATGACTCCAGCTCAACCGTAGGGGTCTCTGGAGATGGTTCAATTCTTTGAGCTTATCCACATGAAACAAACTGTGAAAAGGTGAGAATTGGTAGCATTTGCCCTTTCATCTATTTTCAAAGAAGCCTTTTGGTTTCCAAGGGCTTATGAACAGATCTGAACATTCGTTTTCAGTCAGCATGATATATTTGAGCATTCCCACCCCTGGAAAATTGAGGTGTCTGAGGCTTGGCCATATCAAACCAGCATCCCACCATGCTATTCCTCTAACCAGGTTCTCATCAACCTCATGTGAAACTCCAAAGAATGGTGAGATCCAGGCCTCCCCAGTACCCCATTCTCAATGCCATGGTCATTCTCAGAACCATGTTGCCTCCACTGGAGGAGGAACATATCTTTGTTAGGAGGAGCCTGCTTGTTGCTTTGTAAAACCAACATCCGCATGGTAAGTATTGCTTGATGAAGAAATGAGTACCATAAAGATAATAAGCTTTCTGTAAAAGTTGCAGGCATTTGGCTCTTTCACAAAGTAAAACTAATACACCATTTCTACAGAGAAGTGCCTTAACATATTTTCAAGGTGACAGTGTAAGACAAAAATCACCAAAGTCAGAACAGCATTTCTAACCCCCAGTTCTGTTCTGCGATGGCCAGGCAGGCTGTCTTAAAAGTACAAAGTCCCATCATTTGCAATCAACAACCCCAAGCTTAGTCAATTCCTGAAAAGGATCAGAACAAACCTACCGTGCTGTCCTTGGGAACTTTCATCTTCCATACGCCACCCTTTGCATTACTCTCCTCTTCCCTGGATCAAAGACCAAGGTCTGAAGTTACACTCAAGGATTAAGTGGTTGTACATATATTTACTTTAACAACAGATGACATCAAAAACAAACAAACAAAAAAGCCCTGGCTGGTGTGGTTCAGTGGGTTGAGCGCTGGCTTGTGAACTAGCAGGGTGCTATTTCAATTCCCAGTCAGGGCACATGCTTAGGTCGCAGGCCAGGTCCCCGGTTGGGGGTGTGCAAGAGGTAACCCATCAGTATTTCTCTCCCTTTCTTTCTCCCTCCCTTCTCCTCTCTGTGAAAATAAATTAATGAAATCTTTAAAAACAAAACAAAACACCAGCATTCAAAAAACTCTCGCCCAGTCCTTTTATCGGAAACAAGTGAATTCAGAGACAAGGGCAGGGAAGGTGATGGGACACGAGGTGCTCATCCCCAAGAAGGTGGTAGTGAGAGGTTCCCTGGATTACCTGAATGGACAAATCAATACAAGTGCTTCACCTGTGTAAGGGCCCTTTCCATCTCAATATCACAACAATGGCATTGCCTCATCTGACTCTCCTATCAACTTGTCTCTTAGGTATATTAGGAGACTAAAAATCTGTTGTGTCTTCCTGTTTAGTGTCTGCTTCCTCTTCTGGTAAGAGCATCCTGACTTCCTTTTGGGGAGCCACTTGTCCCTTACTCTAATGTCAGATCCATTCAGATACGAGTAATGGCACATCTTAGCTTCAAACATGGGCTTGCGACCCAGGTTTGCCCATCAGATACTGTCTTTTGCTAGTGTTTGTAATCTGCCAAGAATGGAAAGGTGACCCATGTGAGCCAGTAAGAGCCAACCCTAGTATTTTCCTGGGGCTAGTGAATGCTAACAGGGATAACCTTTTAGGGTACAAGACTAGATGTACTGTGAACTATTTTTCCACCTCATATGGAGCCTGAAAGTTAAACCAATGCAGAGTAAAGCAAAGTAAGTCTGATGGACAGCATTATGTTTCTAGTAGCACATGAATACTCGTATCTGTCAGAAATCAGACCTACCACTGGACTTCTCAGCTACGGGGCCAAAAATCTCATTTTTTTGCTCGGATTAAGTTCCTGTCATTTGCTACCAAAGGAGATGAGATACATTTCCATTGTACTCATGAGTCCATGACTTAGAATAGTTGGGGGATATGATATAAGGATTTATCACTAACAGGGACTCCAGCTCAGGCAAACTGGCTTTCTGTCTACCATCCTCATCACTGCACTAAACTATGAAAGAAGGACACTCCCTCACCCAGACCCTAGGCCATGGTCAGTACCACACACTTTTTAAGGTTCATGTGAGAGAGATATTTCTGGTGACACGATCTTGTTCAACCATACAACAGGCGTGGATCCTACATCGGTCCCCCTCAACTCCCCACTAGTCTATAAGCTTTTCCACTGAACTGCTCAGGTTGTTTCCTATAGAACTAATGAAAGGAGCCCAAATTATGCAACTGCCACACAAAGGACTGAAACCGTACTTTCAGAGCACTAGTAGCAACCCATTTGTGGGACACTGAACAGGGCCCTCGAGGGAGGAGCACCAAGAAACCTTCTCACCATCCTGAGTCCAATGTGAACAGGGTGGTGGGCAGGGGCTTACTTCATAATTAAGTAAAGCTAAAATTACTTCCTGCATCACCTGGAGAAAAGTGCTTTGGTGCTCCTATTCAGTATGACTTCATGTATTTAATGACGGTTAATCATTTCCCTCCCACCCTAACCTCCAGTTGATGTTAGACACTTACCAAAGTGGTCGCCTCTCTCCTCTCATTAAATGATAACTACATCTCAAAGGCAGGCTAGTCACAGGAGGGATATTATTGTACACACTCCAGAATATCTTTAAAAGAAAAACACTTTGTTTAATATACCCAGTACTGATTTTTACTATGCCACTAGATTATAAAATTAATGTATCAGACAACAAATCAGAATCTCATTAAGTCTTATCCATTCAAAATAGATTTTTCTCAGTGTTCTCATTTTTCGCCAGAAAATTTAATATTAATATTTTAAAATGTTCCTTGAAGCCCTGACAGAGTAGCCCGGTAGGTTAGAATGTCTACTCAATACACCAAGGTTGTGGGTTCATTCAATCCCCAGTCAGGGCACATACAAAAAATCAACCAGTGAATACATAAATACATGAACAACAAATCGATGTTTCTCTCTATCTTTTCCCCTTCGAATCAATTTTAAAATATTTTTAAAAGAATTAAAAAATAATAAGCCCTGGCTGGTGTAGCTCAGTGGATTGAGCACGGGCCTGCGAACCAGACAATCGCGGTTCGATTCCCAGTCAGGGCACATACCGGGGTTGCAGGCTGGTTCCCTGCAGGCCAGTTCCCAGCAGGGGATGCATGAAAGGCAACCATACATTGATGTTTCTCTTCCTCTCTCCTTCCCTTCCCCTCTAAAGATAAATAAATAAAATCTTTAAAAAAAAAAGAATTAAAAAATAAAACAAAATATATAATAATAATAAAATAAAAAATGTTCTGTGCTGAAGTCAAGCCAATTTCCATGGGTCAGAATGCTGTGGTTATTAAGCAAACATTTCTGTGCCATGTATCAACACATAAAACTGGGTAAGGATCTTGCTAATCATTTTTCTGACAGATAGACTGCATCTAATAAAGCCTGTAGTGCTGAATATATGCGCTGAACCATATTTCCTGTAACACAGGCTTGGTTCTGAGCCTAAAAGAAGTCTACACCCCTTTGGACTAAGTGACGTGGTGTGAAGGAAGAGGCAGAGAAGAGTCACCTGAGGTGCCCTGTCCTCCTCTGTTCCCCTAGTGGGAACACTCAACAGCTCTGTTGCCCAAGATACAGGGCGTATGGACTGCATATTTGTGTTCTCCTCAAACTCATATAGTGACTTCATATAGAAGGCGGAGCCTTGGAAGGTAATTAGACACATGGATGGAGCTCCATGATGGCATTAGTGTCCCTGTAAGAACGGGAAGAGAGGGAGCCCCCTCCCCCTCCACCATGTGGAGACACAATGAGGAAATGGCTCTGTCTACAAATCAGGAACAGGGCTCTCACCAGAACCTGACCATGCTGGCACCTCCATCGTCCTCAGACTTCCAGCCTCTAGAACTGTGAGAAATCAATTTTTGTTGTTTAAGCCACCCAGAACATGGTATTCTGTTACAGCAATGAGAACGAATGAACACAGAGTGGCTGGTAGGCAGAAGCATTGTATAAAAATAATAGAGTAATAGTAATAATAATAATAGTAATAGTGCCAAGCTTTGGTCTATTAAGGTTTATATGTTTATATAATTTGTCCTAATAACAACCTCATTAGGAGACACTACTATTATGCTTGTTTTATAGATAAGAAAATTGAAGCACAGAGACTAACCTGTTCAAGCATCACTGTCTGGTATGACCATTAGGATTTATGTAAGAATTGTGTTTATGAAGAACAAAACCTTTCCCAGCTGTTCAGAATAGGATACAGAATTACTCAGCTACGAATTCCATGAGAAGAATTACACCACAAAGCAGGAATATTCTTCCATGTAGTGAGGTAAGTAGAGGGTGACTGTCTGTGTTTCATAGTGGGTTTGAAGGGAGCAGCACAAGCAGTAGAACAATTAGAACAACTTGTCCCAGAGTGTCATGAATAAAGTAGCCCTGTTGGAATGAGATTTCATCTATGTAGACTAATGACCCTTGACGGTTGTTTGGTTGTTCGAGTCTGCCTTGTGTAAAAGTTAAAGATGAATTAATTGCAAGGGCAGCAACAATGAGTGGTAAGAAAACTGAAGGCAAAAAACTACCTGCCTGTAGACTTATTTATTAGGGATGCCTTGAATCCCTTGCCTATAGCAACACTAATGTGGGGAACAGCTGAAAATGGATTTGTAGAAACAGCAGCTCCTCAAACAGTATCCATCTTTAGGGAAAGGGATCACTGTTTACCACCCCCAAAATATGACTTTTGAGATACTAATTATTTTGTGCTGGTTATTTTTAAAGAACAAAAGACTCAGAAAGAACCAAGAACTCTTCCCCTTTCCTGCCTAAAAGAATTCAGATAGGAAAACCTTCTTCAAAAAGGCAGCCTTAGCATATTCACCTTAGCATATATGAATTAAGTGTGGCAGACATGGAGGATACAAGCCAGTTTATTAAACACCCTTCTATTTCCCATAGTTTCTGGGGCACCCAGCATGAATTTGGTTACCACATTTGCTCTTTCTCATCTACCAGTAAATTGTCTGCTTTTCCTTTGAAGTCCCAAAGCCCTGGCTCCCTCTCCTTAGACCACGATGGCACATACAAGGTCTGTCTGCAAAAAGTCCAGTCATCGTTAATATAATGGGAACGGTTTGCACAATATCGATGTAACCTGGCAGCCAAGTCGAGTGGACTGGAATGCATATGTATGAACTATGATGACTTCACTGTACTAGTCAGTGGGGGCAGTAGACGCCACTGAGTGAGCATGTGTACTGTGTGGTCATTGCATTCAAAATGACTGAGTAAAGCAACAAGTCTGTATAATATTTTGCGTTGAGCTTGAACATTTCTCCACAGAAACTACTGGGATGATTCAGAAGGCTGCAGCTATGGGCAACTGGCATTTGGCAGCTTCATCATGACAACCTGCTTGCTCATGCATCATGTCTCATGCAGAATTTTTTCATGAAACATCAAATTACCCAGGTGACTCAGCTCCCCTACAGTCCAGATTTGGTGCCCTGTGACTTCTGGCTTTTGCCAAAACTAAAATCACCTTTGAAAGGGAAGAGTCTATGGCCATACCACCCTGAACATGCCCGATCTTGTCTGAAAGGGAAGAGATTTCAGACTATCGATGAGATTCAGGAAAACATGACAAGGCAGCTGATAGCAACTAGGAAAACTGTGTGAGGTCCCAAGGTGCCTACTTTGAAGGGGACTGAGGGGTCATTGTCCTATGTACAAGTTTCTTGTATCTTGCATCTTGTTCAATAAATGTTTCTATTTTTCACATTACATGGCAGGATAACTTCTGGACAGACCTTGTCATCCTCAACTGTCCGGTGGGTCCCTGAGTCTCACAATCTTTTGGAACCCCAAAAGAATTTATTATGTGCATACATAATAAATTAGTTCATTTTTCTCCTATTAATCTGTCTCATGTCAATTTATTAGTTCAGCCCAAAGTTAGAAAGGCAGAAAGAAAATTATTTTTCCACCCTCATAATTTCTACCCTATAAATGGGTTGCTCTTAGTGTAAAGAATGAGATTACTCCAATATTTCAGCTTCTGTCTGTGGTACACACATGAATAGGTAGAACTAGAGTTTGATGCCAGGCATTTTGATTTCAAAACCCGTGTTATTAACCTCTAGGCTATTTTCTTTGATGATATTACTCTGTGTTTTTGGCATATCTTTCTTCCACCTTGGAAGCCATGGACCAAGTCATGGAATCACAGAATGAAGGAATGTTTAAAGCTGTTTTCCCTTACTAGCATCAAGCATGGCGGTGCCTTAGCTGCAGACTGGGATCCTCACTATGCTGTGGCAATGACCTGTGTAGAATTTATAGGCAAGACTATGCTAAATCAGAAATTTCTGCCTCCGGTAAAACCAAAAGGACTTTGGTGCAGGCAAACTTCAGACAGGTTTCCTGAAAGGCGCCCCACACCAGAGCACCTGCCCTACTCTCTGCCAGAATTCTTGAGTCCTGACTTTTTATCTACTGGTATAAGCACCTGGAGGGGTGGGAAGGGGGAAGGCTTCTTCTGTTCCAACGCTAAGAAAACACCCTAAAGATTGTGCTAAAGTTTATAGCTTTACAAGCTTCTCTTGAAAACAGAAACAAACATTTATTTTGTTAGTCTTGGCAAATTTGACAGCAGGAAACTACAGCCCAAGAAGATACAACAACAGACTTAACTCTGACTTAATGTACTTATAAAGCACATGGTTGCACATTTGTGCATGAAAAAAAATAAAATACCCCATGACATTAAAAAGAGCTCAATTTTTAAAGTATATGGCATTAAATTGGTCTATTTTCTTGTCGCAAACCTCATACAACTTAGTAGCTTTGTGTGATGGAGGAAGAGCTCAAGGAAGGAGCCCAGCACCCCGCTGCTCCTCAGACCCTCTTCTTCCGTGTGGAAGTAGAAGGACTGTTTCACTGTAAGGTTGATGATTCACGACTGTTTTCCTCATAACACTTTTTTGTTACTGTTGAAACACCTAAACTTTACTAGAGATACAGAACCTTTCATATAGATTTCACAAGAGATTAGGCTTATAATTAATTCTATTTGGGTTTGTGAACAACAGATTGTAGTAAAGCTAAAATTATGTACAATGCTTATTAATGATGGTCAAGTGCTTTTCAAAAGCCTAATGATAACCCCCAAGGGCAAGGAGAAGTATAAGAGCTGGGAGTCATTCACTCAGTCAGCAATTGTGGACTCTGCAAGGAGTCTTTGGGGAATGGAACTGAGTGCATGAGGGGCATCCTTTCCACAGAGTCTACTCCTTGGTGGGAAGTTCTTAAACATCATTCTGGCACCTCTTCTGTTTAGAAACTAAGGCCAGATGGCTGTCTAATAGAGTCTTAAATCCAATGGAATCTGCCTGGATTTAAGTCCAAAGTTTCCAGGATGACCTTGATAGGGCACACAGTCCTTGAAACCCTAGTTTCCCTCTCTGTGTAACAGGACAATACAACAATTTCATTGGGTAATTCAATTATTAGGTGGGAAGTGAAAGTGTGTGTTAAGCCTAAAGTAAGGAAGCAAGGTGTAATTAAACTCCTTAAACAACATGACCACTTGATAAATCCCTAGTTTACTGGTTCAGATTGGAGCAACTATGCCCCACCAGATAGTCTTTTCCCAAATAGATGATCCTTCACTACCAGAAAAACTGGTAAATTTTCTCCTCCAGTGTCTGGAAAGTAAAACAAGCAAAAATACCCAGCAAATATACCTAAAAAATAAAACAAAATCCACAAAGTCCAGGTTTCCTTTTGATGGTTGTAGCATATGAGGCAGGAGAGCATTTTGAAACATTAAACACATATTTTCTTTCAACGGGTTCTAGTTGTCTGGGACTTGCTTCCCACCAACTGAACCAATGGTATTTACGGGAATAACAGATCAAGGAGGCTCCTGAAGAGCTTAATGGATGTTTTTAACTCATGGGGGACACAACAGGCTGAAAACAAAGTGCTTCTGATTTGCAATAGCTGGTTACCAGAGACAGAAATGGGTTTTGCTTTGAATTCCAAAAGGGCTTGACTTAATATGAGAGCCCAAGTTTTGAGGACTAGTGGTCAGGAAGGTAAGATGAAGGCGTCAGGGCCATTTCTCACCATACAGGGAGCCAATAGAAAAACACAAGGTCCGGCTGGGCAGCCAACTGGGCTTTGAACTTTGGGAGACTAGGACAGAGTCCCACCTCCTGAAAAGTTGGGGGAAAGAGCAGAGCAGCATGTAGCCTGCTACTTGGGCAAAGCCCGTAGGTAGATGATCATTGATGCTAATATTTTTAGATACAAAGGGGCTTCTTAGAAAACTGAAAGAACTGGTTTCTGAATTTTGAAAGAACTGAATTCAGAGTCCAACGAAGAGTGATACGCTGTGAAGAAGCGACTAGACAAAAATAATAGGGGGCAGAACTCCTAGAGGGTGACCAGGAAATATATGGTGAATAAGGGCTGTTTAGTAAGGTTTGTGATGAGAAAGAAGGGCTCCTTTACACAGGGAAATTTAGGCCCTGCTTTTAGGCAGAAACAACTATGTCTACTGTTTCTCAATTGCCTTCAGCTCAAAATAATCCTTTTGATAAGTGGCATATTCCCAATTCCTTCAGAAGAGACTAAGTTTTACCTTTGAAGTGACTAAACTACTTTTACTTTGCAAGACCTGACCTCTGCACCCCCTCCCACGCATGACAGGGCCTGCACGCAGCTGACATGGAAGTCATAGGTGATCTTCCTTCCATTTCTGCACAACTGGGTCATAACTAAAAATGTTGATCCCGTAACATGTGATGAATAAGCAAATGATAATAAAGAATCTTGTTATTATTAGCCTGCAATTACCAGAAATATGAAACAGACCTTGCTGTAAGTCCCTATCTCTCTCTTTCTGGTGTGGAGTTTTTCTTGCTATACGCCCACCACCCCCATTCACTGAGATGATTCCCTTCAGATAACTCTGCTGCAGGATACCACATGCCCTGAGCTGCCATTCTGTGCCCAGAGCAATGAGTACTTGGCACCGTGCTTCCCATCATTCTCCATGATCAATACTGACCTATAAAACTTCTCCTTCTGAAAGGGGCAGCAGACTCATTTTCCAGGGATCTGGAAAGCTATCTGTTGTCCAAACTTAATGACCGTGACAGCACAATCCTACACTTCTGATAAGGGATGATGTCTTGATGTCACAATTATAGAAGGAACATTTTCTTAATTTTATCAGACTATAAATATTTTAAAGATGACCTTCTCTTTAAAATAAATGGCGTGTATGATTCCACTTACAGAAGAAATATGAAGTGTATGTTTTATTTAAATATAAGTAAAACATAAGTGAGCTTATGGGAAATATTGGGTAGAGCATAGTACAGGTGAGATACAATGCAACAGAACTCGAAGTCACAACAACAACTGAGGAGAGGCAGACGGTGCACAGGGGTGGGTTTTCAGGTGTGTGGCAGCAAAACTGGAAGACACTAGGAGTGAGGGAGCCCTCCCTTGCACATCAAATCTGGGCAGGTAGATCTTCATTCCCCCACAGGTAAAATCAGGCTTGTTTAGAAGCTGTATCTTACTCTACAGAGTATTCATTTAGGACATAAAAACACAGAAGAAATGTAGAATATTTGGACATGTTCCAAGAGAGTAAAAGAAAGAAGCACCTATAAAACAAATTTACATGAAACAAAGGAATTTTCCAAGAAAGGCAGGAAAGTTGGAAATAAATTTAAGTCTAAGCAGACAGAATTATTGTTGGCCCTGACAACAGTGTCCTCAGCAGGGGTTATTAGGTCATCTGGAAGCACCCACCTCCTCATCTGGGGTGGAACTGAAAGAGAACTGAACTCAATAGGAGCAGGATGACGAAAGAGACACAGCATGACTGGCTGTTTCCACTGGCTGTTGGGGCCACTTACCTCTTAGCCTCAGCCTCCCCACTAATGAATGGGCATAATGATTCCCCCACCCTACCAAGACCTCAAAATACAAAAAGATACATGGTCTTTATGAAAAGCATGATTCTTACATTTCACCCAAACATAAATGGGGAAGAAACAGACATGAGTAGGATGCAATTTTTTAGTGCTAACATGAAGTTCAAGAATCAACCTACAACCACAGAATAAAAAGACAGTGGGACAAAAACAAGTCTTCAAACGACCTTAAGATGGGCACCTAGGCTAGCAGTTAAATACTAAGGACTATTCACAGATATTCACTCAAGGGCTAAAACCCCAAAAGTTATTGGTAATTTAGATATGTTTTCCTAAGTAGGGGTGTTACTAGTTGTGCTATAAATACTTCAAATAAATAATCTAGAAATAGTAGCACAGTTTGCTGATATAAAACATGACTCAGAAAGTAAAAAGATGCTCCAATAAAAGTAGGCAAATGATGGCAAATGAGCTGATCATTATGATTGGCTCTACATAGTGCCTTCTACCTCCTATACCACTTCATTCTCACACCCTTGTAATACAATTGGTGTCACAATTACTCCCATCTTAAAGATGTGTAAGCAGGTACAGAGAACTTAAGCAACTTGCCCAAGCTTATATGTAGCAGATATGGGATACAAACCCAAGCAGTCTGACTACCCTGTACCAGAGCCCACATCCTCACCAAGCAACTGATGGAGTTGAGGAGTGGAACCCAACGACACTTTAGTAAAAGCTGATGAAATCTGAGGGCCTACTAAGTGCGAAACACTGCTGAAAACTACATGCAACCTCAACCCTCAATCAACCAGAGGGAGTAAGCACTGCTAAAATCTCAGTTTCTCCATGAGGAAACCGAGGAGATGGAGACATTAGAGATAGGACAGAACTTCCTGTCTACTTAGATCAGTGTTCCATTATCGTCTCTGCACCTGAAGGAGCCCTTTTTCCTTATCACTCCCTTGTGAAATTTTAATACCACAGAGAGACTGTATATCTGTTTATGTATTGCATGTATAATTGTGCTGTATGCATAAAAAGAGTAAGATTTTTTGGCTCATCAAGAATCCATTCTTGCCCCCCATTAAGAAAGTAAAGCCTACAGCTTAATGGATCCTTATATGATCAACCTGTTGTGACTCAAGAACATGGTTCATTTATTAATTTCTCATTCATTCATTCATTCATCTAACTTTGCAATATTTACTGAGTAATAGGAACTAGACAAAATAAGTACTCTGTGATCCCATTTATATGAGGTTCAAAAAAACTGAAATGAATATATGGTGATGGGAATGTGAATAGCGGTTGCTTCTGGGAGAACTGGCTGAAAAGGGGCACAAAGGAACTTTCTGGCATGATGGAAACTTTTTTATCTTGATCTGGGTGATGGTTACATGTCTGCATACTTTGCCAAAATTTACCAAACTGTGCACTTAAAAAATCTTCACTAACTAAATACAAATTATATCCCAGTATAGTTTTTAAGAAAGCAATTCCTAGTGTGTACCAGCCTGGGTACTTGAAAGTGGTCCCTGAAGCCCCTGTCTAACTGGCTGCAGGTGCCAGAGCTTACCAGTTGCTTCATGTCATCATTCAGCATGGGGGAACATGAATGACATCTTCATCTGACTGCACCCAGTTGGGCCAGACTGCCCTGAAATTTGAGGCACAGCTCCAATAACCCAATGTCCCTCTCGTTAGAGGGACAGTCTAATGAGTCCCTCAAAAATCCATGGGATCTAAGAACATTCACATGAAGACAGGCTTTAAATTCAAGTGCTCTGAGGTTTAAACAATAGCTGCTTCACCACAGGAGAGAAGAGAGAGAAAGAAGCTCATAACTGTCTCTGATTGGTTATCACAGCAGCACTGATGTTTTGCTTTCTACATGCTTACATCATTTTCCCGACTAGATAACAAATAGTCTATGGTTGAGACTGTGTCTACTCCACTTACTGCCCTACCTGGAACCACATAACTACAAATACCAAATTTCCTGCCAAATATTGGGAAAATTCTGAAAAAAGCTCTTTGTGCTACTTCTGTATGTGAGAGGATGCCTAAGACTTGCAATCTAGTGACAATCTAATAGAATTCCTAAGACATTAAAAAATTTAGGGGCACAAACAAAAGGAAAACTATTTAAATATGGCCTTCTAAAAACTTCTGGACTTGGTCAATGCAATTATAAAACAGACTTAAAAACGTTATTTTCTCTGTAGTGTATTAAACTAGTAAAGGAGGAGAAACTTGATAGAATTTGCTTTTGAATAAAACAGAAATTTGATCAACTAAATAAACCAGCTTTTTAAAGAAATGCTTACCCTAAGAGTTGGAGACAGAAAAAACTAACAGAATTAAGCTTGTATTTGTTGAGAACATATCAAGTATTAGGCTAAGTAAGGTATAAACATTATACTACTCAACCCTCACATCAATGAAGAAGGTACTATTGGTATACTAAGTTTACAGAAATTAAAAGGGTTGAAACTTGCCCGGTTGAGGACAGAGGAATTTGAACATGAAGTAGGGAACTTGGTGTTAGACCTTTCACTTCTATGCTAAGCATTCCCCTGCCCCTATGTGTTGCTACAGGTGCTGCCAGTGCCTCTCGCAGATGGGAAATAAGAGCTCAGACAGGGAGCTGGTGTTGGGATGGGGGCACAGGTTCATGTCTTCCTAACACAGCACAGTCTGCTGCTCATGAGGGGCTGTGAAAGGTTTAGGCAGTAGATAAGTTTTAGCAGGCCCTGTGGGGGTGTGCTCAGCAGGCCTCTGGGGTCGTATGAGTCAAGGACAACTGCACCAAAATGGACTGCAACGCTATCACCAGAGCAGAGACCTGGGTGGGGCTTCCAGCACAGTGGCAGTTTTCAGGGTAGAAGATAAAATAAAGTCCAGCATATAGCATGTGATTGGGTATGCCCCTTTTTGGGTCTTACCTGTACTGTTTGTACCGTGTAGATTTTCTTCAGATTTGATGCACACTCAGCTGCAGTGGCTCCAGGGAGGGATCTAAGCAAAAAGACAAAGAAATGTAAGACAAATAGTCAACATTCATGAATTATTCCACAGTACAGTCTTCAGATGTTCATGCAAACCAGGTCTGCAATCACAGAACGAACATTTCTAGGATCTGTTAAAATTTAAAATGCAAAATTCCTACTTTGTGAAGTCATGGGTTTGCTTCTCCTAAAAAAGAAACTTATTTTGTGGAAAGTTAGTAGAAAAAAAACAGAAATGTACGTAAGAAAGGTATTAGAAACCTTAAAATCACATTTTAAAATACTAATAAAATAACCCTGTAATAAATAACCAAGCCTTTGCCTAGGACTTGGGATGAGAAACTGTGCTGACTGCACAGGTGACAATGAAAATGCCAGGTCACTGACCTGGTTATGTTTGACAAACCTCTTAGCTCTCAGTGGTTAAACATTCACAAACTCTTGAGAAACAGAATGACTTCTGCCAACTTTAAGAAAACATGACTACTAAAAATTAACTTTAGTTTTGCTAAATTTGCATGTGTTGCCAAAACACTTGCCTTTAGAAAATATTTTATCATTTTCCCTGGCTGATTTAATTAGCTCTGCTGAACTTCAGGGTCAGAATACATTAATCTCTAGTTTGCCTATATTCCACTAGATGGCAACATACTACAGGTTTATTCACCAAAAAACCCCCATGAACTATGACTAGCTTTACTCAGCACTGGTTCCTATAACATGATCTCATCAATCCTTAGAAGACTTAATTATAAACACCTTTTCTTTCTCCCTATACTGAATTAGCAGTTTTTGCTAAAAAATGTTGGTGTCCAGCTACATCAAGCTTATGGTAAAAATTCACCACTCAGTCTTGAAAGTGCCATGTCTGTCTACCAGTAAGAAATAAGAGGCTTGGTGTGAGAAGAGAATGTACTGTCATGGCTGATCCATTTGGATCTGAAATCTATAAAATGGATGCTCTTTACCCATTACTGACCTTCAGAGACACAGCCCCCAGGGAACCTCAAGATGTTGAACTTCCTGGATAGTTGTTATGCACACTGGTAAGTGCACAAGCTCACATAGCTCAGCAGTAGAGGGGACAGCAAAGCAAAGGGCCAGGCCAAGGGGTCTTGGTATTTGGTGGGGAGGGGGAACATGAGGCACAAGTGGCAGGGCTCTACAGATGACATTCCTCAAACTACGGACCAATGAATGTTACCTGGGTGTCAGGCCTGAGTACCATACATCAGCTCCTTAGGCTGGTGGTTACTAAGTACAATTATGGATTGATTAGTTTGAAGGCAAACAAGGGACCCCTGTTGAGCAGGTAAAGTCTGATAAATCTACCTGAAGCACTGGGTTTACAACTCATTTCTAGTTGTTTATAAAGAAGCTGGACATCTTTTTTTTTTTTAAGTAGATCCACAATAATGACCATAATTGCGTTTTGTTGCCAGACTTGAAGCCTCATATAACTATGCTGAAGAGCATGGTGAAGAGTAAGATACTAATTTAGTACCTTGCTATGACAGTGCCTGCCTGTGATTCATCCATCAGTTTATCTGGACTGTCTGGACATGGGGGTGCTAAAGTTCTGACTTCGATAACATTGATCTGCTGTTTAATGCAGGCTTTTACACTATTTTCAGCTAAAATTATGAAAATATTGGTGGAAAGTTTTTAAAAACCTTAAACTTTTTCTGAAGAGATAGTCACATGAAAAGTCTATTGCTGTTATATGAAAATTCACTGGTATTTATTCTGGTACTAACTTTTCTTCCTTTGAAAAGTCTAGCTGACCTCCCAAATGAGCATGTCCAGTACAGATACCCCACCTCATTCAAATCACATAGGATAATGGGTACAAGGCACCCCTATAGGGGATGCTGGGGTCCAAAGGGAGTAAATGCAGTTCATATTTTTTCATTTTAAAACTATATATTTCAATTTTTACTAGTTTTCAAAGTTACATTTCAATTTATAATGCTCCAGAACAAGAATAATTTGTATGTTCCCCTCATACAGGATTCTGTCATCTAAAGCAAATCCAATGTGAGAACACAACCATTTCAACCCAGAAGGAAGGTCATTGATGAACTTGTTAAATGCCTCTGGTCTTTTACTCATACTCTAGTGGAAGAGACCATTAAACAAAGTCATTTATGTCCATTCAATTTCACATTGTTATGATCATTTAAACATTATTAGCCACAGTTGACACATATTATTATATTAGTTTCAGGTATACACCCCAGTGATTACACATTACATAACTTACTAAGTGATCATGATAAATCCGGCACCCACTTGACACCATACAGAGTTATTAAAATATTATTGACTACGTTCCTTATGCTGTAACCTACACCTCTGTGGATATTCTACAACAAGCAATTTGTACTTCCTAATCCATTCACTTTTTTTCACCCATCTTCCCAACCCACCTCCTATCTGGCAACTGCCAAAATGTTCTTTATATCTGAGTCGATTTCTGTTCTGCTTGTTTATTTTGTTTTTAGATTCAATTGTTGATATGTATTTTACATATAACAATATGACATTTTACTGTTCATATTTTTTCCTCTCCTTTTTTAAGGAAGACCCTTTAACATTTTATATAATACTGATTTTGTGGTGATGAACTCCTTTAGCTTTTTCTTATCTGGGAAGCTCTGTATCTGTCTTACCTTCCATTCTAAATGATAGTTTTGCTGGGTAGAGTAATCTTGATTGTAAGTCCTTGTTTTTCACTACTTTGAATAATTCTTGCCAATCCCTTCTGGCCTGTTAAGTTCCTGTTGAGAAATCAGCTGACATTGTTATAGGAGCTCCCTTGTAGGTTACTAACCTCTTTTCTCTTGCTGCTTTTAAGATTCTCTCTTTATCTTTAACCTTTGGCATTTTAACTATGATGTATCTTGGTGTAGGCCTCTTTGGGTTCATCTTGTCTGGGATTCTCTGTGCTTCCTGGACTTGTATGTCTAATACCTTCACCAGGTTTGGGAAGTGTTCAATCATTATGTCTTCAAACAGGTTTTCAATGCCTTGCTTTCTCTCTCTTCTTCTTCTCCCTATGATCATGAATGTTGGTATGCTTGTAATTGTCCCAGAGACTCCTTACATTATCCTCATTTTAGGGGATTCTTTCTTCTTTTTGCTCTTCTTAGTGGGTTCTTTTTGCTTTCTTATATTCCAAATCACTCATCTTAGTCTTGGTTTCATCTACTCTACTGTTGATTCCATGTAAATTATTCTTTCTTTCATTTAATGTACCTGTCATTTCCGACTGGTCCTTTTTTAATGCTGTTGAGGTTTTCACTAAGTTCCCTGGGCATCCTTATAACCAGTGTTGTGAACTCTCTAGTGGACTGCTTGTCTCTATTCTACTTAGTTCTTTTTCTGGAGTTTTGTTCTGTTCTTTAATTTGAACAGGTTTGTCTCCTCATTTTGGCAGCCTCCCTGTGTTTGTTTCTATGTATTGGGTAGAACTGCTATGTCTCCTGGGCTTGGTAGAGTGGCCTAATGTAGTAGGTTTTCTGTAGGGTCCAGTGGCATGGTCTCTGTTCACCTGAGCTGGGCGCTCAAAGTGCACCCCTATGTGGGCTGTGTAAACCTTTCTTTTGTAGTTGAGCCTTGATGCTGTTGGCATGTCAATGGGAGGGATTTACCCCCAGGCTGATCAGATGCAAGGACTGGCTGCAACCAATGACCACTGACCTCTAACAACCATGAAGGATCAGCTGTGCCCATTCCATAGAGCAGGACATACTTCAGAAACACACCCTGGTGCCTGCTAAGTCTGAGCCTTAAGTGTGTTGCCTATGGAGATGGTTGGGTGGTAGAGCTTCAACATGGTTTGAAGATGTCCAGTGGGTGTGTCAGCTCTGAGGCCTTCTGGGAGATGCAGACCAAGGTTAGCCACCACCTATGTTCTGCCCAGGGCCACCTAGCATGGACTACAAAATGATCTGCAGACAGCTGCTATTAGTGCTGGGTTTGGAAGTGTCTGGGAGAGGCCAACCTGTGAATCAAGGCAAGCTCCCAGTAATGCCCACTTGCTGAGTTCCTATCCACACCACGGTTTTTGCTGAATCCCATTTTTAATACTAGATTATGTCCATATAACTTTCTTAGAACAGCCTCTTTTTCAATGGAACAAGATACAGAAGGCCCTCACTAAAACCAACAGGATCATGTCAACGATAGCTCTATTCTGGTTAATATCCTACAATGTTTGAAAGGAAATATGTCAGCTTCTATGGAAACTGACTTTTCTAATTTGTTACTGGAAGAAGGTTGGAGTCTGTGATCTGAAAGGCTCCTTCCAGGTGTTGCAGTTTCATGAATATCCAGATTTCAAAGTAACAAAATGGAGTTATCAGAACTTCTCATGGTAGTAAATATTTGGATTGTCCAGTGCAAGACATGGCATTATTCTGCGAGCCAAACCTCTCACGGTCACTAAAAATGCCAATAGACTAACCCTCATGTCTGAACCTTGGACATATTCAATACACAAAACCAGGCCACATACAGAGAACCAATTTTAAAATAGGCAAACAAGCTGAGATTTTTATTAGTCTGCCTTGTAAACAGGCCACTGTGTGCTAGACTTGCTGGTTCAACACTGATCCAGAAGCTGTACTGTCTACTGTTCCTGTTTCTTTCTTTAAAAAAATATGGAACGCTTCATGAATTTGCGTGTCACCCTTGTACAGGGGCCATGCTGATCTTCTCTGTATCGTTCCCATTTTAGTACATGTGCTGCCGAAGGGAGCACTGTTTCTGTTTCTTAAAGCACCAGTGCAGGCTGTTAATGGCAAAACAGCAGCCTTGGTGGTGACAGCCCACACCTTCTCTTCCCTGTTCTGCTAACAGATAGTTGTAGCAACTAGAAGATAAGTTTCAGTAGTGAATTTCTTTGAAAGAAACATTTTTATTGGTATCACATGTAGAGTATCTTTTACTTATTTATTTACTTTTCTGTTTTATTGTTGTTCAAGCACAGTCATCTCCATTTCCCCCCATCACTCCCCTCCACACAAACCACCCCACCTTCCATCCTTGATCCTATCCCCCTTTTGCTTTGTCCATGTTCCTTGATGACCCTTCCCTTTCTCCCCCATTATCCCTTCCCCCCTACCACCTGATTACTGTCAGTTTGCTCTTTATTTCCATGTCTCTGGTTACATTTTGCTTGCTTGCTTGCTTGTTTTGTTGATTAGGTTCCACTTATAGGTGAGATCATATGGTATTTGTCCTTCAATGCCTAGCTTATTTCACTTAGCATAATGTTCTCCAGATCCATCCATGCTGTCAAGAAGGGTAGGAGCTTCTTCTTTCTTTCTGCTGCATAGTATTGCAT